ACATGTCGAGGGTATTTCGTATTCGTCGGAGGATACCCCTGCTCGCGGGCTCATCGCCTCCCCATTCGAGACGTCTGTCGAGACTGATGAGATGTTTCCGCACAATGTCTTCTGGTAAATCTAGGAATATCCAATTCCCAATTAGACAATTGGTGATGAGTGGATCGGGCTCCTCTGCATTGATGATTGCATTTTCAAGACATTTCAGCTTGATCTCCCAAGGCGCTGGACTCTGACCCTCGCCGCCCATTTGAAGACCACCACGCGTAAGCCAAAATAGACGCCGTTTCTTTTCCTCGTCCCACGGGCCTGTGATTAGATCCACGGGTAAGCGAGCCATTGGGTGAAGGTCGTGTGTGCCCCAGCTCATGGCCTCAGTTTTGAACGCTGGCCATTGAAGCGCTCGCTTGTAGTCTGCCTCGAAGCAGTCATGGGCGTTGAAGTGCGCGAACCCACCCTGGTGGTCGTGGTTCAGCTGATGGTAGCCGTCTTCGGATGGGACGCTGTGCTGATACCATCTGTCTCGAGCATATCTGTCTGACCAGGCTTGTTGTGCCTGAAGGATGAAGTCGATATCTACCCAAGGTAGTTCCAGCATTGCAGACTAACAACGGTTAGAACGTCATGGGAGGCCAAAAAAAAAAAAAAAAAAAAAAAAAAAGAAAAGCAAAAGCTGTGCAAGCCCAATGATTCAATTCTCACCTGAAACACGGCATCACCTTCAAACGACGCCCATTCTTTCTGTTTTGGTCTCGGCCCATGCAGCTCCGTCTTGGGAATGCCAAACCACTGGTTCCAGGTGTCGTGGAAAGCCAGCATGAACAATCGCAGCAGCGTAGCTCGGCCAGAGAGTTTGGCACCAATCAGGTGACTTGATCGAGGAAGCGAGAGATTTTCCGAGTACAAAAGTATGCTTTCCAGCAGCTCGGCAGGTAGAGACTCGAGGACTGTGCGATGGCGAGATAGGCGACTGGCGCGGAGGGAAGCAAGCGATCTTTTCATCTTCTTTGGCGCTCTGTCCGTGTCTGCAGCAGCCACGGCAAGCGGCGTAGGTGGCGGTTCGCGCTTTCGTTTGCCCCTTATGTGCACGGGAGTCAGAAGCATGGCGACGTTGACGATCTTCCGAAAGCAAATAATCCTCCATTGTTTGCCCCTCCCAAAGTTGGCATTTGCAACTGAATGCCCGAGCTCAGGCCATGGCGTTTGTGGGAGGCCCCTCGCGATACTCGGCTTTCGATTGAGCCTAGGGTGTTCCAAGGCTAACTGAAGCTGTACGAGATGACGGCGATGCTGTGTGTCTAGAACGGGAGGAGTTTGAATGGATCGGCAGATGGCGGCACCCGCGGCAGATGGCTGCACATGCGCAGGCTAAAAAGGGCCCGAAAAGAAACCCCCCCTTTTCCACCCCCCTCCGACTGCCGTTCGGCCAGTAAAAATAAAAAAAAAAAAAGAGAGAGAGACGCGCGCTAAGCCCGTGCATTTCCGAGTACGAGGTAAATTTCCAACGGGCCTCACATTTCTTCCACCTGGACGAGACGACTGCATCACGGTAGATCCTGATATCGTTCCAGGTTTTGACGGCTAGCCCTTGCCGCTATCGTCACGTCCGATGCTGGACTCCTGGATTTCTGCATCATCTTGTTGGTAGACCAGCCCGCGATGCAGCCAGCTTTGCGATCGCCTGTTCCGTCCCGCAACCTCCTTCGCTTCTTGAAATCGCAGTCCGACGCCGCTTTCTTGGCCCACGGCAGCCCCAATGGCTTGGCAGCTGCTGGCACTCGGGTTTGTCGACGAGCCAGAGCGGCGGGGAGTCTGGATTCTCTGGGCGTCAGATCACTCAGGTCACTGACGACGACGCCCAGGGGCCAGCGCCATGTCGGTTCCGGTCTCCGTGCCGTCACATATCCTCTCCGAAACGGATCGCCTACAAAATCGGCCAAGCTAGGATTCAGCACCACGGCAGCTGGGCGCAAGCTGTTCGAGCCGAAGTCAGGCAACGAACCTATATGGCAGGAAAGGCTTTGGGGAACGAGCGCCAAGAAGGGACCCAAGCTGCTAAAGCCAGATGACCTTCCAGCCCACGACGACTTTGAGCATGGCTCGTCCATGTTTACTAGTCGCCGGGTTTTGGCAGCCAAGGCAGCTTTGGAGCCTCGGCTACGATGCACCGAAGTGGATGAGAATGGCAAAGTTATCCTCGTGGATGGGGAGTTTAAGAAGACGGAGCTAATTGCAAAGGTAAAGGCAACGACGGCACCCAAACAATCTTGGGAGGCGCATAGCTAATCAAGAAAAAAGTTTGGGCTCAACCCCCGAGATCTTCGAAAAATCGACTCCTCCAACCTGCCGCATATCCTCATCCGACCCTCGGCTATTCTCCTCAACCTTTTGCACTTGAAGGTCCTCATCAAGCACGATCGCGTCCTCCTGTTCGATGTATATGGGTCAAAGACGTCGTATCCGCAGTCTGCATTCATGTATGACTTGCAGGGGAAGCTGCAGCAAAAGACGACCCAAGGCTCCAACAGCCTGCCCTACGAGTTCCGTGCCCTGGAAGCTGTGCTGACATCCGTGACGTCGGAAATGGAAGCCGATTTCGAGGCCGTGCGAGAACCAGTCATGCGCATCCTCAGCGAACTGGAAGACGACATCGACCGAGACAAGCTGCGCGTACTCCTCATCTTGTCGAAGCGAGTGAGCACGTTTGAGCAAAAGGCCAAGCTGGTCCGAGACGCCATTGAGGAACTCCTCGAGGCGGACGACGACCTGGCGGCCATGTATTTGACGGAGAAGACACACGACCTGTACAGGGGGTTGGACGACCACACCGAGGTGGAAATGCTGCTCGAGTCATATCACAAGCTTACCGATGAAATCGTGCAGGAGGCCGGCAACCTGGTGTCTGGAATCAGGAACACGGAGGAAATGTAAGTGGCACACGGCCTGCTTTCGCGGAGACGAACGTAGCTAACACGCCGACAGCGTCCGCGCCATTCTCGACGCCAACCGCAATGCACTCATGTTGCTGGACCTCAAATTCAGCGTTGGAACGCTTGGACTCGCCATGGGCACCTTCCTCGCCGGCCTGTACGGCATGAACCTGGAGAACTTTATTGAGGAAACGAACTGGGGCTTTGGCGCCATCACGGGCATGTCAACCATTGCGTCCGTCATGGTGTGCTGGTACGGCCTGATCAAGCTGCGCAAGGTGCAGCGCATCAAGATGATGCGCAACGAGCGGCCACATGTTCCTCGCAGCAACCAGTATCCGTACCAGTACCAGTACCACGACGACAGTGCGCTGGGTCTTCTTGACTCCAGAAACCGGGAGATGCTCCGTCGGGCGCACATGCAAAAGGCCATGGCGGCGCGGAGAAGCTGGCTTACGTTCTGGAAGGCCTAAGTCGACCATGTGGAGGAGCGGGTATATATTCACCCCCGCGACATACGGGTGTACAGACATTAGATTGGCGTTGGCTGGTTCTCTCTCTCTCTCTTTCATTCTCCTTTTACGAGCGGGATTTTTGCATGGTGGGTTCTTATATGTAATACTTGGCCTCGATGGTATCGGTGGCGTGTATTTGGAAGTGGGATACCCGTGATATGTACATGTGGATTTGCATTAGCCCCGAGTTTAGAAGATCTCCCAATAATGATATATATAAAATGGCAAAGAATGGCTCCAGGGGTTTCGAGCGTGAGTGTGGTCTGGTGTAAGCGTTGATAGGGTTGCCATTGACCCCTTTGATCTTTTGCACCCTAGCTGGGCCTGTGCCTCTCTGGTAAGTTACCATCTCCTTCGCGAGCTAGTATTGCAAAAACATAGAGTAAAACATCCCAGGCACGCCGTTTGCCATCTTTCCGCAGCGAGACCCGCGCAAGTCACCGTTGGTTGCTGCGTGCTGACGTCATGACCAAAACGGTTGAACGACCTGTAACGGCGCATTTCCTCTTTCACACGCGCCACCAAACGGTGTGCATCACATCTAACGGAACATGTCTCTAAAAGGGGCCAATCACTTGTCAATACCCGTTTACCCCTGTTAATCACGGTTCAAGACGAGGAAGTCTCTGGCGTCATGGTTGATCTGCATTTCCTGAAACAAGCTTCACGACGCAACGCAGCAACGCTGAGTGGTCGGCTGCGTCCCCTGAACTACTGACAGCTGCCCGTTTGGGCGAGTCCCGGAGCGAATGCACCGGCTTGGGACACAAAAAAAAAAAAATTCCCCGTGTTTTTATTTACATGTTTCTAAATCTGGGGTCTGTGCCGTGTGTTTCCTGGTGTTGACGTCAGTCGGGAGCCGGGGTGTTTGGGCTGCTTGGGCAGAACGAGGTTGGGTGAGATGCAAGTGACGTGGTATAAAAACATTTGCTCGTGCTTGCGTGACGGACAGATTCCTGCCTCTTTCTTTCCCCCCTTCTCTCCCCCAATAATCCAATAATCGTCTCTGGGAACATACCTAGCTTTGACGCTGCTGAAGGCATTTTATTCTGCAAAACTACCTGTTCCAATCACCACCATCACCATGGGCGGCGTACTCTCTTGCGTGAGCCGGGCTTTTCTTTTTTTACCCCATTGTGAAGAGCGCAGCTGACGACGTGCTTTGAAGATCCAATCCATTTTCGCCACGATAGGCAACTGCATCATGGCAATTGTCAGCGGCATCGGCGGCATCCTGCAGGCCATCATCAGCGGCGTAGTGTCCTTTTGCGGCATCATTGTGCGGTGCCTGACCTGCGGCTACTGCGGGCGGGGAGGAGCCGGACATCGACATGGAGGAATGAGGACGAGTAGGGTGTAGTGCGTCTACTGCTGATCGCGACGGTTGGGGAGAGGGGAAAGGAATAACAAGATTGTCATCAGAGCTTGGAAGGTGGCGGTCATCGATACCCACCCGTGTTACGACGTTTATACCCTAGTTCTTCTACTTTTTTTTTTACGGTTCTTAATGGGTATCCTTTTTCTATATTGTTTTGACCGTGGTATTATTTTGTTTCTAGTCGTCTTCTTCCATGACGTTGCGGTTGAAAAACCCGTGTATGGCCTTGCCGGCAACTTTTCCAACCATGGGCTCCAGGTCTCCCACTGACATGTTTGCCACCTCTTTGATATTCTCTGTTTCCAGTACCAGGGTTTTGATGTTCTTGGGCGTGACGCCGGGGACGAGGGCGAGCATCTCCTGCGGTTCCTGGTTGAACGCCTGGTCTTCCGCCTTCATGTCCTTGTCTAGGCCTGCTTGCACGGCCGCAATCGGGTCCGGTTCATCCTCTTGCGCCTTGAGAGACTCGAATATCTCGGCGGTCTGGTAGGGCGATGACGACCATATGATGCGGAGTTTGGGGAAGGCCAGTGTCAGCAGGACGAGCTTTGACTGCAAGTCGGACGACACGTTTGTGGGTGCCACGCTGCTCAGACTGCCCGATAAGTCGGCAAAGGGCTCCAGCGTGAACGACTTGTTCTGATCGAACTCGATGAGGAGCATCGGGGACCTGTAGTGCTGGAACATGGTTTCTGCCTGCGTGTAGAGACGCCCGTCCTTGAAGGACGAGATGAGGTCGCTGATGGATTTACGCTCCACGCATATGTTGGGCGAGAGGATATAGTCGCCGACTGTGAGCATGCAGGGCACGATGATGATGGACCGGCCGTGGAGGAGGGATGGCAAGGAGGAGCGGAATTCTCGAACGTCGACTACAACGCGCGGCGGCTGGGCTGTCGCTGCGAGCCGCCCGCCGCCTGCAATCCGCGTGTTGACTGTGCGGAGGAACGCTTCTTGCGCGTCTTCGATGCCGTGAGGGTCGACCGTCATGACGAGAGACATGCTGGCTCGTTCCTTGATGAGTTTCGTGAAGGAGTCCTTTTCCCGACGGACTGACGAAAGGTAGCGCTGTTCTTCGACCGAGCCCCCGTAGTACATGAAGTAGACACGGACGTTTCTGTCATTGTGCGACGAACGGTAGACTTCTACCCGCCGTATGAAGGAGGCGTCTGGCTCGTACATGATGATATATCGGGGTTTGACTTCCTCGAGGACGTGCTCGTCTTGGTCGCCGTCGTAGGCGTGGACCACGACTAGGTCTTGCATTTCGTACAGCTGATAGTAATCTTCCATGTCGTCTAGTGGGTCGGCGATGATGTCGTCCTTTTGTTGGGCTTCCTCTTCCGTGATCTGGACTTCGGCCATGAGATGGGCCACTTCGCCTGGCTTCTCAAAGTACTGCGCAATAACACCCGTGTCGGTCCGTCCTGCCGAGACACCGGCGTTACCTCCGCCACGGACGCGTCTCCTCTTGTTCGAGGGGGGTTTGCCACGGCCCATGCCAGCATGGCCAGGTCGGGAATCAGCTGCGCCGTTGAGGGCCTTTTGGTTCTCGGAGAAGAGCGTTGCGCTGACTTGGGCGAACTGTCGCTTCCAGGTTAGGTAGCTGCGTAGACGTCTTCTCATCATGAAAGCAGCCGACGGTTTGTGCGCATCTTCTTCATCTTCCTTGGTGGTCGTGGGAGTTGCGACCCTGGGCTTTACATGCATTGTTTGCAAGTAGTCGCGGAGTTGTCTACATGTATCCGTGTTTGAGCACATTATTAGTATAGTTCCGTTTGAGTCGTCTCTGGCAGGGGGTTCGAAGTAGAGATCTCTGTCAATCTCTTCGAGCACTTCAGCAAGCAGAGCCCACTTTGGAAGCTCCTCGAGGACTGGCCGTAAAGAGTCGATATTATCGCCACTTTGCGAGACTGTTTTTGCGCTGGCCGAATACACCCTCCTTCGCGCCGTGTCGAATATTGTCTGAGCTGCATCCAAAAACAGCCAAGGTGATTGATTTTGTCTCGTAGATCCAGGCGGAGGTGAATGCGCTGCGTGGATGGTGTCAAGATGCTGCAAAAACGACACCGCATCATATGCCAGAACGGACGTCAAGAGACCGCGCAGCACCGTGAGATCGTTTACAATCTGCCGTGTTTTCCAACTCACCCGGTGCCAATTGGGATCCAACTGCCGTCGGACCATGACGTCAAAATTTTTAAGCAGGGCGCTGTCGAGATTCCAGTCGTCCATTTCGAGGCCCGAGTTGCCCTTTTTGAGCTCGTGAATGCTGACTTCTACACACTCCATGATGGCGTTTTGAATATCCGTCATGGAATCCGTCATGGGAACCTCCAACTCGATGACTTCGGCCTTCTTCTTGCCTTCGAGAGACTGTGCTACAGTGACGTGGAATCTCGGCCACAACGACGCCCTTTTCAGGAACAGATTTCGCATCATGGTCGACAGCGGGGAGAAGCCCGTAGAAAAAGGATCAGGATTGTCGGAGAAGGCCTTCAGAAACCCAATCTTGTTCTTCTGCCGATACACTCTGAGGATGAAGGCCTCGAGTGAAGTTGCGACAACACGATCAGCGTGAAGCACGACGAGCCCCGTGATTGACTCTGGATCCAGCAGGCCGGTAAGAAGGTCGACAACTAGGATACGCGAAGTGATGCTGAAGATGCCACCTCCGGCGTACATCTTCTCGCGTGCACCAACGCTTTGGAAGTCGGTATTCACAACCGTTAAGCCCCGGGCCTTTGGAGCAGCACTGATGGCGGCGTGCTCGGCCAATGCCTCGCCGATCCAGCCATTTTCACGCTCTTCAGCACCTACAATGACTATGAGATTATTTCCGGCTGCGTCATAGGAGTGAAGCAGGTTTGTGACGAGGCGCATCAGCCCCAGGCCACGGGCCAGCACGACGAGCTCATCTTCTGCTCGGAGCTCTTGGAAGAGATGCTGTTGATACTCCTGCGGTAAAGATTATTCAGCAAATGCGGTGCAGTCTCTTGGTGACACGTCGGATTGAGAGTAGCATACCAAGGGTAAGGAGAGCTTGACTGGCTGCGGGGCATTATTCGCAGACATGCGGGCAACCGGGTGATGTGGTGGATGTGAATGTGTCAATGAATGATGGTGAGATTCCGGTCTGGTTTGACGTGAACACTCAACATTGAATCATTGATGTTCAGTGAAGCGGCACTGGGACTTGAGGGGCTTGAATGCGCCGTGGCTCAGTGCAATTGTAGTCGTCCGTAGAAGCAAGGGCGAAGCCTGATTGGTCTAGTCGACACACTCAGTGCTCAGCCCCCAAACTTATAGGCCCTGATGCTACAGCATTCAGCGGTACGATGCAAGGTACGGCTTATTTTACATTTTATTATCATACAAACCGACTCAAATAGTCTTTTTTTAAAAAAATAAAAAATAAAATAAAAATCCCTCGCGGTACAATTAACTCGAGTATAAAATGCCTAAGTCGCACCAGTTCAAGCCGACAAGGCTTACACCATGCTGTATTCGTCAAACAAGGATACTGGCTTGTAGAAGAGATGAGAACATACAGTGACGAAATTGCGATTTGAAGAAGAAAGTATACTCGGGCTATAGCTGCTCTGACTGCGTAATTTGAGCAGATTCGCTGGAGCAAAATGCCTCGAGCTACTTGAAAGACGAAGAATTACCAACACCACATCCGAGCCCCGAGTCCTGCGGAAGCCGTAGCGAAGAAAAGTACCAGTCATGCTTGCTGTCCCAATACGCCGCATCTCGGCAGCGCCGATACCCATGGCATTTTCTTGGAAAGTCTGCCAAAAGCGCTCCTCCAAGACCCGATGATTGCTGTAGTAGTGCCAGCCTGCGGAGTCCATGTAGCCTAGTATGTTCTCAAGACCCCATAGATTCATGCCAAACGGATGGATTCTGCTTCAGCCCAGTCAATAATCCCCTTGATGTGGCCGATAGATGGTTCCGTCATGTTCACTGCGTTGAGATCTCCGTGGCCGAGGACCATGGGGTATTCCGGCGTGAGGAGCAACTCCAGGCCACCGATGGCCTTTTGCGGGTTCTGTGTGAATCGAGAGGGAAGAGCTTCTGAGAGGAGCTGAAGTTTCTGCCGGTAGTCATTGTGAGTGGCTTGAACAATACAGGGCCTGGTAGTTTGCCTGTTGTTCCATGACTGAGCGAAGAACCTGTGTTTGATGTTAGAAATGCGTAAGAGACGGATTGACTTTGCACCATGTTTACTATCTGTACCTTGCCATGTACGCTACGGTATTGGCGTGCTGGAGAGAGGCTTCCAGCAAGGTCCCTACAGGAACATGATAGTGTGACTGCGCTTGGACATAAACACTCCCTGGTATCTTATCCATTACATAGACATGTAGCTGTGATGCGAGATGTCCAATCTTGCCATGGTAGACGGGACTTGGGACCAGCTTGCCGTGGATGTTTCTGGCTAGATCGAGAGTATTGATGTCTAACGTCGACTCTGGGGTTCGGAATTGGTCAATCTTGGCTTGATCAGTTCCCGCTATGACTGTGTAGCTGAACGAGCCTTGAATGGGTACAGGCTCGACAGGCTTGCCGACAATAGAAGCGGCCAAGCCATCGCACTGTTGTCGGGTTACATTTGTGTGACTTTTAAAGAAATCATTGATTGCGCCGTCCAGAGTGTAGACCACGAGCTTTTCTTGCAAACTGCTCATTTTGACTATGTCTTTCAGAAAGTTGAAGTACAGAGACGTGGTATCATGTTCATCTATATAACTATACTTATGATTGTGGTTATCGACAATATTAGAGTCATCCGATGTGATGATGGCCGCCATGTAGCGGCGACCGCTTTACACGGACGGGGACTCTGTAAGCGAGAAAATCTAATTTTGTTGGTTGCACAACTGGCATTCCAAGGAATATGGAGGTGGTGGGGCTGATTTCTGTGTTCTTGTTAGAAACAATGTACCGTAATTTGGGGTGAGTTTGTGATGATGCTTCGTGAATATTCCAGTGATGGATCATGTCTTTTCTGGGCGGAAACCGTGGACAGATGGTGTCGTGCAGTAAACTCTGGGAAATTGTTCGACGTAAAACTTGATGGAGTTGGAAAGAATTGAAACCTCATTAGCTGCCGCTTCGCTGTTGATATGTGTGGTTCACATACGTCCCCCTATTCGCCATCTTCCAGGAAGCAGTGCTAGTTGCTTCCCCCAACCAAGCGTATCACGAGTAGCATACGTACTCTTCATTTCATAGGCCCCTTAACGTGCCCCCAACATCAATAATCATGGCTTTACCGTAGAAGGCTCGGCCGGGCAGTTGAACCGATTGGTTAGTGCCAGGACTTGGTTGTTTGATGATGTCGTGCAGGTTGAGCACGCGACAGGCAGGGACAAAGGGGAGCCTCGACTTTGGGGACCAGCCATTACGTAGTGCTCCACGAAGCCCATCAAAGAGGCTTACGCCGGTCAAGTGTCTCGAGGGGAGCAACTCGAGCATTAAGCACCAATCGCCACCAGATGCCTCCCCCCATCTTGACGGTTCCTCGGCGGCCCGACGTCATCCATTAATCGGCAGGTTTGGTGGTAGCGGGACCAGTTTCATACTTTCCAAAAGTACAAATAAGACTCGCTGCAACCCTTTGAATCAATCAGTTTTCAGTTTGTTTCTTTGTCTAGTACTCCCTGATCCCGGACCTACCGATTCTGCATTTGAAACATACATAGAATACGTACTCAGTAAAAATCGTCGCCAATCAAACGCCAGAACCTGCATCGTCACCATGGACAAGGTCAAGGAAGCAGTCAACAAGGCCACCTCGAGCTCCGACAGCGTAAGTTCCCCCCTCTCGTGCAGCGTCTTTGCGGCCCTATTCCATCATCATTTTCTGGCCGTATTTATGTTAAAAACAATTCAACAGGAGAAGCAGTTCACCACGCAGCCCATTCAGCATGGTATTGACCCCAAGGTGGCTCCGCACCAAGCTCACCCCGGCCCAGCCTTGACCAAGGACATGCCAAGCGAGGAGGGCAGCAAGGCAGAGCGCGAGGCTAGAAAGAAGGAGTTGAATCCATAAAGGACACGAGGGACACCAAGTGTGGAGGCGAAGGAAATATTGTAAAAGACTACAAAGTACCGCGCAATGAGATTTGATGACGTTTAATTTTTGCTGCTAATGACGCCAGTCCTGAGGCGTCTCTTGGCTCTTGACTGCAGTGCACATGCGTGGCGGTGCCCCCGATGTTGCGTTCCTTCCTTGTACGGGGCACTCCGTATGTCCCAAGCAAAATCTGGTCTGGTGGTGGCTGAAGTGTCCAATGTCCCCCCCTCCCAGGGCCCCCTTCAAGCTGTCCGAGTTCCACCGAGGTTCGGTGGACCAGTTGACTTCAATGTTGACCTGACCTCAACCATAGTGCTCAAGTGCTTGCTCAGCTCAGCTCCCCCCACCCAGCCAAAGTCATTATCCCAAACACTGTTGACCCTTTGTCACCTAACCCGTCTTCACTTCACGCAGCTCGCGACATCAATTCCTGCCTGTCGACCAGGGGCACCATAACATCGTTTGGGCGCCAAACTGCACAGTAGCCGCACGCATCCGCTGGCCCACGACCAACCAAACCACTTCAGCATTTCAACACCATCTCCAACCGCAGCCGCCCCGAATGACGGCAGGACCCAATTTCTAACCGTCATTTCACGCCTCATAGTAAAGCCTCGTACATGAGTCCTCTTCTCGTCTTTCTCCTTCCACTCCTATAGTATTAAAGAGCCGTTTTCTCTGCCTCGTTGCCCGCTCGACTAATCGGTATCGACAAAGAGCCTATCAGTAAGGCTTGCTGACGGACCTTCCCTTCGCCATGCCGTCGATACTCAACGAGGACGACAAGGACACCGTTAAACGGTTTGTCCCCAAGCAGTCCAACAAGATCCACGCGGTGGGAGTCGCTAGGCTCTACGTCGCATATCCAAACCGGTCAAAATGGACCTACTCGGGCCTGCAAGGCGCCATAGTGCTGGCCAATGACCTGGTTGGCAACACCTACTGGCTTAAGATGGTGGACATTTCCGTATGTTTTCATGGTTTCCCGGTTGTGCTGTCACTTTGAACGATGCCAATTGATGTATATGCATATATATGTACATGTATACTAACATACATCCTCTAACAGCCCACCAACCGAGGCGTCATTTGGGATCAAGAAATCTACGACACATGGCACTACAACCAGGACCGTACCTTCTTCCACACTTTTGAGCTCGAAGACTGCCTAGCCGGATTGAGTTTTGTTGACGAAAAGGAAGCCAAGCAGTTCAAAAAGAAGATGGATGAGCGAGAAAAGAACGCAAGCCGAGCTACGAAATCAACACCCTTTGGAGGAGGTTCGCAACCTGTCCACAAGCACAGCTTACTGAGCTTTTTTGGTCATCGCCACTCCTCTGCTCCGTCGCCAACAGAATCAACGAAGCCCAGTCTATTGCCCCATCCGTTTCACCACTCGCCTTCGTCCTCGCAAAGTATGAACGGGGCCATTGCACCCTCGCAATTTGCCTTGCTGGATGCCTTTGATCCGTTGTGGAGGGAGCATTTTGGACAGGATCTTACCAATAAAGGTCTTACTGACGACTTTATTAAGGATAACCAAGAGTTTATTGTCGATTTCTTGCGAGAGGAGCAAGCCAAGTTGAACAACCCCTCGCCTACGCCGCCGCCGCCTCCTCCTGCGCCTACGAATGGAGGAGATTCAAAGAGTGTTAGGGCACCACCACCACCACCTCCTCCGCCGGGTGGTGCCTCGTCATCATCGTCGTCTACCAAACGCGGAGCCCCTCCGCCGCCACCGGCCCCGAGACGATCTGCTAAAGCTGATGGACCAGCAAGAGAAGCAAGCCCCCCTCCGTCTCCTCCACGTCCCAAGTTCAACGCTCCTCCGCCGTTGCCAGATGCAGGGAAATTCGCCAATATCGAGCAGCCGAGGCGGAAGACAGTTTCAACATCAACAGCATCAGTACCTGGCCCTCCCCCACCTCCTCGCCCGGCCAAGACACCTATCGAACCCGAGAATTCTAGCCACAAGTTCTCTGTTCCTCCCGCCTTTACCGGCCAACGCCTTCCCCCCCCGACTCCCAGTCGCGGACCGGTGCCGCCTCCGCCTCCGCCTCCGCCTCGAGCAAACGACTCTCACTCAGCTCCTCCTGCTCCTCCGCCGTTGCCTCCCAAGGTTTCGCCAGCTAGCAGTGCTCCTCCACCTCTCCCACCATCGAGTTCAAGACCTATACCTCCTCCTCCCGCTGCTGCTAGCATTCCTCCTCCTCCACCATTGCCATCGCCAAACGCTCCTCCACCGCCTCCCTTACCTTCGTCGAACGCTCCTCCACCTCCGCCGCTGCCTTCATCAAGCGCCCCTCCGCCTCCCCCGTTACCATCATCAAATGCTCCTCCTCCACCTCCGCCCATGCCATCCAGCGGTTCGGCAGCTCCTCCGCCTCCCCCACCACCGCCTATGCCATCTTCAGGCGGAGCACCTCCTCCGCCTCCGCCTCCCCCACCACCGAACCGCGACTCAGGCTACTCTTCTGGTATCCCAGCCGGCCCTCCAGCAGGAGCTGACAAGGGTCGAACCGCCATGCTGGGCGATATCCAAAAAGCAGGTGGCATTGGGTCCTTGAAGAAAATTGACAAATCTCAAATCCGAGACCGATCCCGCCTCCACCACCACCGCCTATGCCATCTTCAGGCGGAGCACCTCCTCCGCCTCCGCCTCCCCCACCACCGAACCGCGACTCAGGCTACTCTTCTGGTATCCCAGCCGGCCCTCCAGCAGGAGCTGACAAGGGTCGAACCGCCATGCTGGGCGATATCCAAAAAGCAGGTGGCATTGGGTCCTTGAAGAAAATTGACAAATCTCAAATCCGAGACCGATCCGCCGCACAGGTCGGCGGAGGTGGGGATTCAGGTGGTGCTGGTCCACCGGCCGGTGCCGTTGCTGCAGGCGGCGGCGGCGGTATGGCGGATGCGTTGGCTGCTGCGTTGAAAAAGAGAAAGGATAAAGTTTCCAAGAGTGGTATGTTTTGAATTCTCCTACACGTACTAATGTAGCAGTATACTAACGGTCTAATAGATGACGAAGGTGATGACGATGACTGGGATTAAGACCACGACACTACACAATGTCATCCGGAGACACTATAACGCATTAACTTGACCTGTTTATTCGGGGGCCGGAAGAGGTGGTATGCCACGTTCAGTGTGGCGTTGCTGCGAACGTGGCAAGTTTTCGAGCAGTAGCTCGCATGTATAGGAGTTGCTGAGGGAAACTATCATTCATTTACCATGTGGCTCCTCGGTCGGTTGTCGAGGTCTCTACATAGTATACACACACACAACCAAAAGAGGGAATAAAAAGCAGATAATCTATAAGATCATATATGTATGGCATTAGCTTTCGTGGATTCATCTTGTTGGCATAATTTCTTGATCTATCATGCAAAGACTGCTGCTGACGGCCCGCTACAAGCGATAAAGGTAATGCCATGATGCTCATATTCATAATAACTGTAAAGAAGACAACAAAGTTGAAGGACCTTCAAAGAAACATGACAAATGGACGCGCCGTGACGTCTCTCCCACCACGGCGGTCCCCAAACCCCCACTCCTGCTATAGAACTGTCGCGGGACCCAAGGGAGACCAAATATCGATAAAAAAAAAGA